TAGTCACACAATACTTTAAATTCTTACCTTCTGGATTTCAAAGTTAAAAAAAGATTGTGTTTTCTAAAATTATTGTTTTAGGGAAAAAAAAGCTTAGATTAAATCATTTATTGGTAAAAATCAGGAAGGCTAGAACTAAATGTCTGCCACATGAAGATCTCAAGGTGCCTTGTGGAAATATTAGCATGCTTATTTTCCAATAGTGAGAATTGAAATAAATAGAGGTTCTGTGTCTTTGAAGACAACAAGAGGTCACTGCAGAATCAAAGCTAGAGTGTGATAGATTTTAAATTCCATGCTGTAATAATTGGACCACAGGATATCTCCAGGATAGCCTGTAGGCCTTATATCTGCCTTCCTCCCATGTTATATAGGGAATAATCCTACCCTATTGGAAGTGAATATTCTAGAAATGTTTCAAAATCCATCTAGTGAAGAGAGATTGAGAAGAAAATCCAAAGGAAAGTAATAGCTATTGAATGGTATTACACCTATATCCCAGAGCAACAAATCTTACTATTTTTCCTCATTTGAACCTCATTCATGAGAGTTTTGTTGTTAACTTGATCCAGATGACAGATCAAAGCATAGTTCCCTATTGCCACCTTGCTAAAATATTTTTTAAAAGACAGTTTTAATATTATAGTTTTACAGTTACAGATCGCTGTAAAGCTATTTAGTTACCAGTCAATCAAACTTTCATTTCATTTCAGTAGATCCTTACTTAAACTCAACAGAATTTTAAGAGGACAAGAAATATCTGTCAGTTTTCTTACAGTGCTAGGTCATAAATTCTTTGGTAAGTTGGTTAAAAATTCAGTTACACATACCATTCATGACCTTGAGAGCTTAGCAAATAGAGATATTGAATGATCAAAGACAACTGTTTCAAGCCCTAGGGGTTAATATACCTGTGCACCTAGATTTAAGCTGCTTTTAATTCTTCCATCAGTCCTTTATTTCAAAATGGATGCAGTATTTATTGAATGCAGTCAATAAATGTAAAGCAAAAAAAATCCAAGGAAACTGTTTAGGCTAAAACTAATAAGGGTCTACATGGTTTGTGGGAGATGCAGTTAATTAATTGTTGCATTTTACAAGTTAACATTTTTTTCTTTCCTAGTATAAATCCAAATTAAAACCTGCTCTCTCTCAAGTGTGGGCCTGGTGTTCACCAGGCATTTTAAAAAGAACTGTTGGCACGATAGTTTTGTTGTCAGAGCTGTGGCTATGTAAATTTTGAGAAAACCCATTTTCAGGAAAACTGTATCAATAATAATAGTTTTGAGAGGAAAATGTGAATAAAATTTTGAACTATGTCATATAAGTATTTCAGGTATGGAGTAACTCATGCAGAGTAACATATGCTGCAGATTAGGTATTGCACAGTTTAAATGTGGGTACAATCATCACTCTAATTTTAATGAATTGTACATTCCAAACCTGAGTTTTCTATTCATCCAGAAAAGTCATATTGAATAATCTGTTGTGCTTTCAAAAGTAATATGAGAAAAGGTCTTCCTGAATAGGACATTTTCAAGTGTGCTGAAACTGTTGTAGGAAATGACGGCATTGCCAAGTCAGTAGGTGGTATTTTTCCCTTGCAGTCAGTACTGAAGCAGTGTCCTAATGTGTTGATATGAGACCCAGACCATGAGGATTTACTGTCTGCCTGATAAACTAACATCCTAAAATGTATATATCTTTCTGTGTGTTTGTGTATGTGATTCTATGTAGGTGTAGAGGTGTGAAGCCCTGGGGTCCTGAATGAATTCCAATGTGGTTAATTAATTTCTCATTCAAGCAAAAATATATCTGGCGTTTGAAAGCCTACTAAATATTTTAAAAGTTGGCAAGGGAAGCAAACAGAAGTAATGTTACAGATTTTTGTTTAGAAGGACCTGAAAATGATTGTCTTGTTCCTCTGGATGGCTTTACTTTTGTTCCTCTTCCAGAAATTGTCCTGTTCATCCCCCTCAAAAGTCCTGCTTTTAAACGTTTGAAATCATACCATGTTTTGTACTTCTTAAGTCAAAGCTAAGCATACCTGAAAAAATACAGTTCAGTGTGGAAGTATAACACTCTGACAGTAGCTAAAGCAAAGACAAACAGAATGTCAAAATCGTATTAGTTATTTTTGTGAAGAGATAAATAACAAAAATATTTTTAAAATAATATTTTGCAAAATATATAACATAATTTTAAGAAATTAATGACAATCATGGGTCATGTAAAAGTTTGGGTGGTTTGATGATCACTTGAGTGGGAAATAAATTCTTATTTAACGTTTCTTATATATTCTTTGCTTCCAGAAGAATAGGCACACTAAAGGAAGCCCACTACAGCATTAACATTTCTTTGTGCATGTTTTACTGCAATCTGGTATCCAAAAGGAAGAAACATTAGAAGTGGTTTATTTATATTTCAGCACCAAATTAGAAAGATGACATCATTCATTTACAGTTCTTATCCTATGACATGTCTAATCCCCAACACCTCATTACAGGGGACACTTTTAGGATTGCATACATCATCTTGTTTAACTTTTGCATTCTTTTATGGAATACAGTTGAAAGGTAGGAAATTTAAGGATGTTCACCGATAAGAAAATAAACTAATAAAATGTTAGGAGCTTCCCCAAAGAGGCAGGATATTACAGTGTTTACAGTAAGTGAATTATTATTTGTCTATTAATTCTCCATCTTTTCCACTCTTTTGTTCAAAAGGCCTTCCTCTTTCAATATAAAGACAAACAGACCAACTATGATGATTCAGATTGAGTTGGTCTTTTCTCAAAATCAGCAGAAATTCATAGCTGAATTCCATACAGCAGTATGCCTCCATGTTCTTATCCACAAGGGAGAAAATTAAATGGTTCCAACTGTGCAGAAAATAGTGTTAAAAAATGTGATAGGATACCACATAGTGCCAGTGCACTTCCAGTTCAAAGGAATCCAGCACTTGACCTGTGGACGACTTTTATTCTGTAACACACTGAGAAGATGCTCTTTTAGTACAGCAGAGATGCTCAGAAAGAGTCTGACGGTGGTTCACACATATGCACATCCTATCTGTGGTTGTTGCTCTATCTTGTTATTGTGGATGCCTTAAGGTTGCAGTTTGGTTTGGTTGGTTGGTTGGTTTTACCTGAATTGAGTACAGGTCCTTACCCGTAAAATAGTTTTCTGTGATCCTTCTAATGGACATCATGTGCTTGAGAAGCATGGTGACATTCCAGAAAAAATTAATTGCTAAAAAGACACATCAGGATTTCCAGTGATCCCTGTGGTTCATAGTTTTCCTCACATTAGGTTTTGTTATACTTCAAAAGTTGTGTAATATGAATATTTAGTTTGCTTTTTTCCAAATCTCTTTTCTACTTTAGCAAAAGAACATTAAAATTGTTGAATTCAGTAGAAATCTCTGAGTTTTTAAATTTTCTATTAAAATATACTTACCAATGATATTTTCCTAACAGATATTTTGGTATAGGATTATTCTCATAGGAAAATCAATTTACAGTGGTCCTGGAAGTAAATTTACTATACGCTAGCTATGCAACACTAGCTATCTCATGGACACTACGCATTGGAAGCGAGTTAGACCTGTTAATATAAGGACATACCTGAATAAATGAGTTGTGTTTAAATTCATCTGTTTAAGTTGGTCCTTTAGAACTCATTAGTTTGGGCAAAGTTCAGCGGTAATGTGATTAGCCAGCATCTTCACTGGAGACAGCGTGAATCCTGCTACCTTGGAACATGGGTGCAACTGAACTGTGGCTTTTTGCAATTGATTTCAGTCTCTTGTCTTTACTGATCCCCAAAGTGTCTGTGTGCAAAGTAGACTTGTGTGTGCATGACTGACTCGATGCCCACATAGAGAATTGCCACGAAGTAGATAATGCTCCTTCAAGAACAACCATTCTCCTATATGGTTCAGGTGAGATTTTTGGTGATGACTTAAGTGTGTTAAGACCGCTATCTTTCCTTTAGTCATCTGCACGGTATTAATTGTATATGTCTCTGATTCTTCTAATTTTGGAAGACGTCTTTAAGAGTTGATAGCATTTTCTTCTGGGTTTTGTTAGTGCGAAAATAAGTAAAACTTGATTACATGTTAACAAGTTTGCCTGAGACAGCTTTCTGTCCTACTAACAGAAAAAGTAAGTATTGTATCCACTGGTATTGGGCAATTGGTAGTGAGATATTTTTGATATTATGAGCAAAGTTTGAATTATTCCAGTCTATGTATTTCATGGTATGGAATAATTGTAACAGTAATAAAGAGCAATGATGTATCTTGCTATCTCATGATGACATAGATTTTATTATCTGTACATGGCAGTAACTGAAGTGTTCATCTTTTTTTCAAGGTATGTATCTAAGACTTACTTTCATTCAGCGACACGTGTCAACTTCCAGAATCATTTATTTCTTTAAGTGCCTGTGTCTCTAACAGTTAGTTTTCAGATTCTTTTCACTTTCTGTTTAGCAGGGTAATCCTGGTGTACAGTTAAAATAATTGAGACAAAATAGAGCTTTTAGCATAACTATTCATGATTGCTGTTGACATGCCTCAGTAGCTAACTGTAAATATTTGAAGTACACTTAATATTCCTTTCAGTGAGATTTTACAAGTTAATTGGTAAGACATAATAATAGACTGGAAAAAGATAGGAAATGGTTCTAAATTAGTAAATTTAGAAAAGCTGACACCCTTTAAACACAACATCCTTGATCATATCCTTTTCTGACTTTGTGCAATTCTACTTATGTGAAAACTGAGACAGAAGACGTATTCACATTGTTATCTTCCTCTATTTCTATTTCCTTTTATTTGTGAGCCAGCAGTCCAGACTTCTCTTGTTAGATCCTTACAGCTACAAAAAGAAAAAAATTTTGAAAAGAGCTAAGAAGAAGCTAAGATCTTCCTAAAACACTGCTAGAGTAATATATTCCAGCATGTAATAGATTTGTCTCACTTTACATCTTAAACAGACACAAAACAGAATGAAACTGATGGCAGATAACTACGATGATGACCATCACCACTACCACCACCATCACCACCACCACCATCATCGATCTCCTGGGAGGCCACAACACTCCAACCACAGACCCTCTCCAGATCAGGTTTGTCACCTCTATTTCCACCTTCAATTTTATAATATTACTATATTGTTATTTTAAGATAAAATAAATATTCCAAAGAAATAATAAGCAAGTGATGTGTTCTTTGAACTGAAACTAATAGCTCTGGTATATATTTCCATCCCTGAAACAATTTAAACATTTTGGCTTTTTGCTGTGTGGCTTACATTTTTCTTCCCTATCTTTCTTTAGAAGTTTTGCAGCTGTCTTCAGCATGTCATAACTCAACTTTTTCAGTAGATCAATGAAAAATTTCCTATTTAGTGATTACTAGGGATTTAAGAAGTATAGACTATTTTGAATAATTTTTTGTTTATTTAAAGTAAATGGATTAATCATTAGTATTGAAAAACCATGTGTAGCAGTTCCCTTTGACAACTTCTAAACCAATGGCTCTAAATTGTTTTTAAAAGTGTCTTTCTGTCAAAGCTGTCAAATAACAGTTATAGCTTAAAATCAAGCGATGCATTTTTAGCTAGGCAAGATAAACTAGATCTGAGAGATATTTTAAAAATGCTTAGTAATTCATTCTTCTTCTTCTTAGAATATTATTCTTCTTAGAGTCCCGTGCTTCAGCAGGGGCAAATAACTGTCCTAATAACATGGTCTCCTAAATTATGTTAATTGAGCATGTTAGCTTTGTACCTATTCTCCTCCACCGGGGGCGAAAAAACATCCATAAACCCATCACTGTTTTGATTTTGTTTTGATTTTTTATGTTTATTTACAAATAAATACAATCTTTCAAGAAAAATTATTTTTGTAAAAAAGTAACTAATTTGCTTTTATTAATAATATTGTAGAATATTAATGATATGAAGGTTAAGACAAAATTAAAATACAAACATATTAAAACAAATTTATTGTCACATTGTTTTAAATTAATATTTACACTGTGTATGTTTGGAATCAGGAAGTCATGATGTTCTGTGCTTTATTAGCATTTCAACACTTTGTCTTTTAGTCTACTATAATGTGTTTTTTCAGATAATGTTGCTGTCAATAGGCAGAAATATGCTAAGTGTCCAGTGTACGAGCTCAGTATTTCTGGTTCATAGACAACTGAGTGAAGCAGACGCCTTGACTGAAAAGTTTATTGAAACAGATGTTTCCAAACAGAAAATGCTGTACCTTTTATTTATGGACAGCTTAAAGTCCAGATCCACCATAAGTAAAGTATCTGCTTTAATTTTATAGTTAGAATATTGAGAATAATGCTATAATATGGCTATAGCTATTAGTAATAATGTTACAGTTATTAGTTATGGATTGTTATCATTACGTAGTATTGAAAATAATAAATTCTTTAATTAGTTATGTAATGATACAAAATATACATTATATTTGTACATATACACACCAAAATCGTATTTAAAATTCTAGCAACAACTTTATCTCATCCTAAAAATACCCATATGCCAGCAAACATGTTTTCATAATTGTTTTCTGAGGTGTCTGGGTCTGATACTGTTAAAAATCTGTTATGGTAAGAAACAGTGTGTGTGTGTGCATGCATGCATCTATGTGTATATGCATATGAAATGCTAAACCCAAGAAATACAAATGAAAGAATCTAAGATGTAGTAGATTCAATTTCAAGAAACAAACATCTGTTTTGAAATTAAAACATATATGTAAGCCATGCTGCCAGCATGCCACGTGTTTCCAGCTGTTACTGGGTGCCGCTGTTCCATTTCAAACGAATATGCTTAGTAACTGGAAAGTTTGTCAGTTGTGGATGGAGTCTGGCCTGAAGATGACTCAAATTTTAAGACAGACTTGTTTTCACTATATGATGCTTTAGCCTACTACAGTGAGTGGCAGTTGAAAACTCTAGGAGTTTTAGGAGGAACTCAGTCACAGTAGGACAAGGAGAAAAGTTACCCATATCTGTATTCATCTGGAGTAGGAAAAACAGTCTATAGAGACAAATAACTCTTTTATCAGGTAGAGAAACCTGGAGAAAAATAAAACATTGCTTTTATATGAAGAACCATTGTTTGATACTAAATTATCTTATAAATTCATAATGTCTGGGTAGAAGCAAAAGGGGAAAACATAGATGAAGTTATAATGGGGATGTATGATACAGTACTTAATAGGAAATAGGAGACAAAGAGGCAAATGATGTTTTTTTTACAATGACTAATAGAGTTGTACTAAAGATAGGAACTGGTAAGTATGAGAAAACTCAATTTCTTGGATAGCAAAAAAAAAAAAAAAACAAACCCAGAACAAAAACAAAACAAACCAACCAAAACCTGAACAGAACAACACAACATGGAATCCTTCAAGTTCTTGGAACATGTTAAGAACAACTTTTTCTTTCAGAAAGTGGAGAAGGGTATTAATGACTTGCTGTCTTGGCTTTAGTTCTGTTTCTGATTAAGATAGATAACTTGGCTGAGTTTATAAAAGAAGGCAAAATTGTCTGAGAATGACCATGAAATAAAAAAGGTTTTGGCTTTGTGCAAGGAATAGAATGAGAAAAACAAAATGCAGGGAAGAAATGTGAAAAAACAGGTAACAACCACCTCTGTGTTACTGAAACTTAGACACTGGTTTCAACTAATTCAAGAAACCTGAACCTGTAAAGAAAATTTGAGGGACAAGAAAATGTAAGAGAGGTAATATTTAGTGAAGAAGGTGCTTCTCAATGCACAATAACAGGTTACTCAGGGAAGAGAACAGGTAAGAAGCATAATGAAAGTCTGTACCAAAACCTTCAAGAACTTAAAAAACTTAAGAAATTGTATGAATAAAGCAAACAATTTCATGGTTAAAGATAGAGTGCTTAAAATACTAGCTATTTTACTAGTATTTGCTAGTACCAGTATTCTCAGTTTTACCCTGTACTCTTTATGATTATATTCAACAACTCATGTAGGATATACGAGACCCTTGGAGGCTTGAGGAAGGCAAACACTGTTCTTATCTTTACAAATAAAATATATGGGGATTTATGAATAACTTTAATTTAGACCCTGCAAAGTTATGCAATAAATTATTAATCAATGAATCAATAGAAAGCTAGTAGTCTTTTTACTATTTGTTTTCAGTAACTTGATGTATGTATCAGACTGTATGATGTTACCTGTCTATCCATCTCATTGTATATCAGATCACCTTATACCTGCTTTGCCCTTATCCTCTTTTCCTAACCATCAACTGGTGGTTCCTATCCTAGTCCAGAGAAACTATTTTTATATTACATTCATTAAGATATGAGATTGTTTATTACTATGTACTCACTTTATTCTTGCACTCTTTCCTAGTTGACGGGTTTAGGCCACACTCTAAAACAGAATGCAGGTCTAGATGGCTGTTACATAGAATACCCATCCTATATTTAGTCTGCCTGTGTTTGTCAAGGACGTATTATGTCAAGCAAATCTAATTTCCTTTGATGGGGTAACTGGCTTTGTGGCTAAAGATGAAAATGGTAGCTGTGACATACTTTGAATTCATAAGGCCTTTAACACTGTCACACCATATATTTGTAATATGCAAATAAATAAATTCATTTGTAATGTAATTAACGTGATGTAAAATGCATTACATTAATAAAAGCTGTAACTACAAATACAATTATTTTAATTTAATTAATTATGAAATCACCACGAGATGAGTGTGCAGCTGATACAAATATGCTACAGATAACTTTTCCATTACTCATTGTCAGACAAGGATAGTTACAGCAGGGTTCCAAAGAGGTCTGTCCTTTATCTGCTTCTATGGACTATATTTTTAGAAATAATTTCAGTGATGGAATAGAAAAAAAGATGAATATTGTTGATAATGAACCAAGCTGCAAGAAGCTGCAGGCATAGCAGGAACAGTTAAACTGCTCAATAAGCTGCTTCAGTCTTAATAAACTGGAAAGAAAATCTAGAGTAAATAAAATGAAATTCAGTAAAGACAAGTCTGTTTACAAGGGAGAAGTCACATGTATTGATGAGGCAATAGCAGGGAAAAAAGAATCTGGATTGCACAATGGGATACCATTGCAATGAAATTGGATCTAATTCTGGAATGGTTGTAATACTGAAAAAGAAGCAGGAAGCAATTATTCTGTTCTTTTGAGCGCTGGTGAGACCTCATTTCAAAAGCTGTGTACAGGTTTTTTTTCTTTAAGAGAGATAGACAAATTAGAAAGGGACAAAAGGCGGGCAATAAGAATGATAGGAGTTTTAGACCTGTTAGGAAGGTTTAAAGAACTGGATTTGTTTAGTCTAGAAAGTACTAAAGGGGAGACATAAGTCTTCAAATATATAAAATGTTGTTGTAAAGAAGATGATGATCTATTGTGTTCCAATGCCCACCAGAGAAAGAGTAGGAATGGTAAATTTAATTTTACCAAGAGTAACTAAGTTAGTTATTAAAAAGAGGAAAGTTTTCCCTATGAGTCTAATGAATATGTAAATGGAGAGAAAATGTGGACACTCTGTCATTTAGATGTAATGGAAATTCCTTTCTTGGAGGTTTTGAAGAACAGGTTAGGTGAATATCTGTGGCACATGATGATAGTTTCATTTCACCTTGTGTTGGTGCATTGGACTTGGAGTAGGTGTTCTCCATAAATACTGCTATCCCTAAATTTCCACAGACTCTGTGAACAGTGGATTAGCCCAGCAAATGTTTACTTGTAAAGCAAGCAAATAGGAGATCCATAACAAAATCCTTGCTGAAATAATCTTTGAGAACAGCACTGTCAGTGATAATCATGAGTGAACTCCAGTCATTGCTTTAACTTACAGTTTTCAGTCATGGATTTTATTTTATTTTTTTACTTTCTGTGTTGTTATTTACCATTGCATACAGCATTCTTTTGTACAGCAATTTGACTACCATGTGCCATTCAAACCTGTATTTCCCATTCAATAGTGTGTTACATATAAATTCTAGATATGTGGTTTTTGAAGACCATAATCCAACATACCGCTAGTGGTTTGAGACTACAGAATAAATTGAGAAAATCATCT